CTTCTTGATTAGTGATTGCAGTTTGAGACGCGTGTTCAGCTCTTTCAGCATAGACTCTCCATCCACTCTACACACCCTTATTCCATTTATTTTATTTATATTTCCGTATCTTTTTACGTGAATTAGACATTAGATTGTGCATTGTAATTTGAAGGATAACATTTTTTACATGGTATTTAATGTAATACTTATATAGTTATATCTTGTTCATCAAGCAATATGTATGTATCCAAAGTTATGCACTGCTTTCAGAACTGCTAAACGAAATGAGTTGTTCGTAAGTTCGACCCTTTAGCTCGAACTTAACATGATTTGTTTGATAGATGAGGATAAAAAATATGAATTCTTATTTAATTTTTCTTGCTCGGTTGGTTAGCTCGATTAGGTAACTAGCAGATTCTATAAAGACTCGAGCCCAAGCTCAAGTATCATGAGCTCGAGCTTGACTAGACTTGTTCAAACCTCTAATAATTGCATGTGTGATTAAACTTAATATATTATATTTATTTTTTCTTGTAATGCATTTAGTAATATAAATCTCAATCCATGATATAAGGAGCTGTTCACCTATTTGTTACAAAATTTGTGTTGATTACACGGGAGCCTGTGAATTGACTGAAGTGTTCAGATCATACAATATGAACTAAAGCAGAAAATAATTTATAACTTAGGAGCGGAAAGAGTAAAACTGAGACACGTAAACTCTTTCCGCAAGACAAATATGTCCAATGTAGTGCTGAAGGGTCTGTGTGTAATGTCCCCAACGATACAACAACTATTCACTCGAAAGCTGTAGCACACCAGTCTTCAGAGTTCCAGCGAACAAGAACAGAGTCAAGAACTGAGCAATGTATATGATGCGTGAGGCTTTCAGTATAGAATGATGTGCAGTTGTATGTCTTATGGTTTTTGCAGCTTCTACACTGTCCTATTTATATGACTTCCAGCCAGGTAAGAGATGACTCTTCAACTTGTAACAACCCACTTATGGTTGTTGTAATTGGGCAGTTTCTCAGGTGTTAACTCACCTTCATTCCACCTGGTAACCACTGAAACGGTGAGGTGGTGGACATGTTAAAGGTCACATGTCTATGTTCAATGTACCTGGAAGCTCTCACACGGGTTGGGTCGAAACTCGAATCCAAACCCAACTCGGTTTGGATTTTATCTTGGGCTTCAGAATTGCAGTGGTTGGGCCCAAGGCCCCAGTCCTATACCGGCCCAGACCGTTCAATTCCAACCCACAGTCCAATTGCCAAGTACCAAGTACCAAGGCCCAAGGCCTTAGGTCTAAGACCCAAGTCCCAAGTCATAGGCCCAGGCCCGGGCATGAGGGCGAGCCAGCAGGCGAAAAACGTGGTCGAAGCCAACACCGACACTTGGTGCATAACTTTGTTGTTTTTGTGACCCTTTCAGCTCCTAAGATAGACAAATATCATCACTAGTAGTTCTTTTGATATGTGGGGCCTTTTATTTGGTGAAAAAAGGTTCTACTCTTGTTCGCTGTTGAGTGAGCTGGTGATCTATCCAACTTCCTTTATTATAATAAAAAGAGTTAATCTCATTTAAGAGTCTAATGTGGGAATGACTCCTGACCATTCGAATCCCACAAGCATCGTTTTTACGTGTCCATTTATGCCTAATTTTAATCATTTATTACTTACTCACTGAAAATCAATTTTGAGAAAATAAATATACCACGAGTATGTATTCGGAACGTAAATTTTTTTTACAAAATTTAATTAAACCCGATTTAAATATTTAGTTATTGAAAATTCAATCATAATCGGGTCAAATCAAAGTTTTATAATTGATTTTTCTTACACTACTCACCTTGTCACAATATTAAAATGTATCCACTAGTCACGATGTGTTTACATCTTGTAACTTATATTCACACACACACACATATATATATATATATAAATATATATTCTGCATCAATTTCCTGGACATATTAACTCATATATACCCAACCGGACTCTGAAATAGTGAAATTATATGACTAGATTTAATTATAGAATTTATAGAACAGAAAAAAAACAATGATAATAATTGATGGCTCTTTTTCCCCTATAAATATCTTACTCCCATCATCCTGGACACAAATCCTACACCTCACTAGTCACTGTACACTCCTGCCACCTCTTCCAATCTCGAAAAGCCATTCTTTTTTCTTCATTTTGCCTATCTTTCAGTGTGAGTGTTCATACAAACTTTCAATTTTACATTTGATATTATTATAATCATGTCACATTTTTCAGTGGAGGCAAATTCAGCAAAGCTTTGCTCCTCTTACACTCATGATCATCATTAACATGCATTTCTTTTCTCAATCTCTCTCTCTCTTTAAAAAAAAAATATCTTCATTGTATTAACAAAACATTTGCTTGAATGATCACTTATTATAGCATAGCATAAGGCATGCAATATATATAATTTCAAATTATTGTCACTTGTCTCGAAGAATAGAACACCCATTTACATTTTAGCTGAGTAATTGCAATTAAAAAGAAAAAAGTGACGCTGAGCAATAGTCATTTTTATTTTTTTTAAATATGCATTTTAGATGCTTACACACTCAATTACATACCTTATGATAGATTCCTAGCATGTAAAGTTCAATTTTCATATAGAGCAATTTAATCATCCATTTTAGTGACCAAAATGGGGTGAGTTGCTTGGTATAATTAGTTCTAATAAAAACTAACACTTGAAAATGCAGAACCAAAAGCCACCGGAGAATTCAAGTTTTGGCTGAAGAATACTGTGATGGTGGTGTCGGTTATTAATCCCTCCGAGCATCCGAACCGAGTAAGCCAACAAGTTTCTATATAATAATTAAAGTCGGATTTCATTTTTTTTTTATTTTTTTATTTTTTTGTATTTCGTCATGTAAATATATATTAATTTTGATAGGCAAAAGTTTTTTTCCTTAATTAAGTTGGCATATTTCTAAAAATGATACACTACGTTAGCGATCATCAAACTAGATAAACTAATTTATCAAAATTATCATATAAAATAATAACAAGTTAATTAATTAGTGTACAAAAAGATATCCTCAAAATCTACAAAATTAATATATTGTTTTTTATAATAATCTGAGACTTAAAAAAGCTTTATGAAACGTGCAAACTATATGGGTAAAAACATGTGGTGTCGTGAACTTGGTTAGCAATAAAAAGGCATGAAAAAAAAAATCTCTATTTTTGAGTAAACAAGTTCTGAAACTAAGCATATTCTGGCAGACAGAAACCTAAGGTGGTCAAAAGTCATGTAATTTTTATATACTTTTGACCAAATATGTGCTACTTTGATTTAGTCTACCATTTTGTAGATCAATTGCTTTTTATTATTATTATTATTATTATTATTATTATTATTATTATTATTTTCCCTAAAATAGAGAGTTGACGGTTATTTTGTCGTCGTGCCGCATATGATCCACGTCAGGACCAGGTTTCAAAATTTTCACGTGCTTAATATAATTATCAACAAAACATTAAAGAAATGGTGAACTGAAGAAAAACAAACAGGCTGCAACATTACACACACCTTCCTACCTCTCTATATCATATTAACATGTGATGGGGTGAGANTATCTTCTTCTTATATTTTGGTCTTGTGCTTCAACTCTGTTTTCCCCTATGATTTCTCTTTATTCTTGCAACTATCTAACAAAATAACATGTCAAATTAGTCAATAGTTACAATTTTTCCCCTCTCTCATCAGCCTGTAAGAATAATGGAAGAATCGCCCGACCCACCTTTCGAAGAGACCTACAAGAACCTATTCGAAAACATAACCGACACGCCAGAAAAGAATTTTCCGGAACTTTCTCCCGTCGAGGAATGCGATCTTCCTCTAATCGATCTCGACCGTCTAAACTTAGGCGGCCGCGAGGCCCGAGCATGCAAGAAGCAGATTGCAAAGGCATCGCGCGAGTGGGGGTTTTTCCAAGTGGTGAATCACGGGATTTCGCGCGAGATACTCGATAAGATGAGGGACGAGCAAATGAAGTTGTTCAAAAGACCGTTTCGCGAGAAGAAAACGGGTTGCAAGGATTTGAAGTTCTCGGCCGGGAGCTATCGGTGGGGAACTCCATTCGCCACGTGTCTAAAGCATCTCTCGTGGTCGGAAGCTTTTCACGTCTCGTTGGGCGACGTGCTGGGCACGGCAGGCAGGGACAACCTCAGGTAATCTCGTTTAGGAAACTGAACGTTAACATATTCGAATGGAAATTCCAACATATTTTCAATGTTATACCTGCCGTTGAAATCATTTTCCAACGAAAATATTTTGTCAGAATGAGTTTTTCATTTAAATTTTAAATGGAGTTCGATCATTCCAACGATATATATATCATTTTTTTCAATGGTTGGTTTATTAGAGTGGGAATTTTTGTTTGAATTTTTATTTCCACTCATATTTCAACCGTTGGAAAATCTACTGTTCGAATCGTGAAAATCTAACTGAAATTCCAATGGAAACTCATTCCGACAGAATATTTTTTTTAGAATTTCTATTGGAATCAATCGATAAAGGCCAACGGAAATAATAATATCGACGTTGTTGGAATTCTATTAAAATATATTTTGGTTAGAATGTTGCTATTAAAATTTAGTCGTTTTCTTTAGTTTTATAATATGATCACAGGCTTTTCCAGATTTAGAATTTATAATGCAAGTCTAATGAAAGAGTTATGTCACATGTAAGCACATACAGTTCTATATTTTTGTCATAATAATAGGATGTAAATCGTACTGTTCTCTTCTTTCTCCATATAATTTGTAGCATTAAACGAGACATGAGAAAAGATATTAGATCCATATATATTATAGTATAATTGATCCTCCCGACATAATTTGACTGATGAGACATGAAGTTTTTGCAACATTATTTTAGAATATTCGTTTCACACAAGGGAAGAAAAAAAAGGTTTTTCAGCATATCAAATCAAAACATGTGGAAAAGATAAACATGAGATCACACAACCCAGCATATAGTATAACAATTCATTCATACATTAATTTTATATAAATCATAAATGTAAACAAATGAGGTATAACCAAAAAATTAAAAATAGTCTCTAATTTACATATAGATATATTCTATAGAAAATATGTAAAACATTACCATATGCATGATAATTTTTTATTTTTTTATTTTTTTATTTTGACCGTCTATTTTTTTAAAACAATATTAATTTTTGTTTTAATATTTAACAGTTTTATCATGGAGCAAGTCGCTTTAACGGTATCGAAATTATCGCAAGAACTGGTGGATATATTAGCAGATGAATTGGGTAAGAGTTCCAGATTTTTTAAAGAAACATGCTTGCCGGACACATGTTACCTTCGATTAAACCGATATCCGGTTTGTCCTATTTATCCGAAAATGTTTGGAATAATGCCACATACCGATAGCGACTTCATCACCGTACTACATCAAGACCACGTTGGAGGTCTGCAATTAGTAAGAGACGGAAAATGGTTTGCTGTTAAACCTAATCAAGATGCCTTAATCATCAATATTGGAGATTTGTTTCAGGTATATTAATTTGACATTCTTAATCATGATTAATAGTAGGATAAATCTCTAGCTGGTGTCCAAGATTTGCATAATATAGTGGATATGATCCTCCTCCTGAAAATGACTCAAAGAACTTCTAGTCTTTAAAACATTCATATGCATTGTTTATTGGGTTTCAAGAAGTAAGATACTTTTAGTTTTGAATTAAAAATTATTGTTGTGGTCTAATGTAATTTGGACAAACAATAATCATTAAATTTAGACAAATTATTGTGTATTTGAAGTGCTTGTTGAAAATGATTCGAATTATTGTATTAAAACTTGGTATCATAAGTGGTACAATTTCAAGAATCAACACATTTTTATTTCTTTTTTATTTTTTATTTTTATTTTTTTGTCTCTCATCTTCTTATGTATTGTGATTGCACATTAATGATGATTTTCAGGCATGGAGCAACAATGTGTACAAAAGTGTCGAACATCGTGTTGTGGCAAACCCGTTACACGAGAGGTTCTCCACAGCGTATTTCTTTTGCCCATCTTACGACACTCTTATACAGAGCGAAATCGAGCCTCGTGTTTATAGAAGCTTTAGCTTCGGCGAGTACAGAAAGCAAGTCCAAGAAGATGTTAAGGTATTCGGACACAAAATCGGGCTGCCTAGGTTTCTCGTACAAATTAAGTAACTAGGCTAATGATCAAGTATTTTTCAGTTGAATGTAGATGTAATTTAAGGTACAATATAGCTACATATAGTTAATTAGTACATAATTTTGATTAATACATGTTAAAATACTGTAATACATGACTGGTATTTCTAGATTAACTCAATGTTGAGAGAATTGAGTAGTAGTTGTAATAGACCTGTACTGTAGTTCATATTTGTTGTTATCTGCTGATTGATTTATGTTTATTATCTTCAGATAATTAGTGTTACCTAGTGGATCAAATATCACATTATATGTTGCATCTTTGGATAAATGTTTTGTCACTAATTTGTGGATAATTTAGGTATTTTGATAACTATATGAAGACCAACCAATATGGATTTTCTAGTTGTGGGGAAATTTAATAATATTATTTATTATTATTGATTGAACAATAAATAAATACTATTTGGAATGGATAATAACATTAATCAATATGCCAAAAAATCAAGAAATTTAATCATAGCTGATGAGGACATTGGCAAAATATCTGACCTTAACAATGATATATTTGCATTTTGCAAGCATTAGCACTTAATCAAGTTGCGCACCAATCATCATCAATTCATCCACTCATTTTTACTCAATGATTTTTGCATCTCAACGTCACATCCCACTTTTAAAGTGATGAATGTTCTTAATTTGGAAAGTTGCCTAGATTTTTCATATTTAATGTCACGTCAAATAAATTCAGTTCGTTCAATTAGAAATCGGGAAAAAATCTTATCTCAACCCTATCTCTCTCAAAAACTCAAAAACCAGATCTATCTTCCTGTCGCCCCCTCTTCTCCACCGACGAGTTGCTGCGGCCACCAAGCCCGCCGGACCGAGGCAACGACTGGTTCAAACTATTTAGCCCCCCCAGAGCTTGACGGGAGACTCGATCGGCGACGGGTCTCGCCGTTCGGTGTCCACAGCCGCGGAGGGGGCACCGCCGCCGCTTTCTGGATCCAGCCGTAGGGGTTGCCACCGGAATAAAACTCTTGCACTGTCACCGTGAAGCCTGTAGGAAGGGAGTGGATGCCCGGCTATGGTTAGAATTTCTCCAAGTAGGCCGCAGCCCGCCCGTCCGCCGTGTGGCCGGGCTGTTGGTGCTCGTTCGAGTTCGGCCGTGGGTGGTCCTTCCTCTGGTCTTATTTTCGAGCTCTCCGGTGTGTTCGTGGCGACTCCTTCTTTCTTCGCCGACGCTGAAGTCTTTCGGAGCCCAGATCTGGAGTGAGAACGGCCTCCTCGCCGGATCTGTCTAGGCGGTTATCCGTAGTTTTTGGGTTCGGGCTTTAGATTTGTGGATTTGTTGTGCCTTTAGCTGTGGTGTGGGGCCTCGGGAGTCGGCTGGTAGTCGTCTAGCTCGCGTGTTTGGATTAGGGGAGGTCTTATTTTATTTGTTTATTAGGTGTGAGTTGTCTTTTGCTTTTATTTTGTTGTTTTGGTTTGTTTAGTGCAGCTTCGTCTGCTTTGAGTGCAGCTGAGTCTGCTTTTCTCTCCTTTATGGAGTCTGTGTTTTCGTTTTTGTGTTGTGGTTGTTCGCCTCCTTGATGGAGTTTGTACCCCCTTGTGTGTGATGACAAGGGGGATTGGTCCAGTTTTCTGGTTTCAGTGTGTCATTTGACACTTCGAGTATACTCTTTTGAGTTTTTAAGTTATTAATATAATTGACGTTGGAAAAAAAAAAAAAATGTCACGTCAAATAAGGCCTGAGCTCATAAACTACTCTAATAGTATACTCCTACAATTTATGACATTAACTATTGCAAAGTGAGTGCTATGGTTATGAACTTTTTGTTGATTCAGGCGAACTAATAATTGGTAAATAATAAGTGACTAGTACAATTCCCGTGTATTACACGAGTGTTGAATTAGAAAGTTTTTATAAAAAATATTAAATTTTTAATTTTTTTAAAAATTAAAAAAAAAATAAATTTTATATAAAACATTACTTTGAGTTTTAATTAAATCTTTAAATTATATTCTTTTAATCATAATAATTAAACACCCGTACATTAAATGAAAATGTCAACCCGTGTTGAATTTTTTTACTTATATCATTTCCAAATATTGATATTATTTAGTATTACATAAGTACAAAAATATATATCTTAAATAAATAGAAATAATATGGTGATATGTATATGCATAAGTGTATAATATGTTTATTTAATATTAAGCAAAATAGATTAATTTTTTTACTTAATTAGATGCCTAATACATCAAGTGTCGTATCAGTCGTGGTTCACAGTTTTTAACTTTATATGTAATTTTAGAATTTAGATAAATAATTATTTATTTTTATTAGATTGACAACATACCAATTATATTTGAAATAAATATCATTTTTAAAAGAATACATACTAATTTCTATTACTTTATAATATAATTTATAGTTTTATTTGATACAATTTAATTTAGTTTGATCAATAAAACTAAATTTTAGTTATAAGGATATATATTACTGTTTTGTATTTTATATATATAATATGGATGTCAAATCAAAAATAATCAAAATCTGAATAATTTGATATATTATATATGTAAACTCGATAAGAAATACAAAAGTTACCAATTTTTAAAGTAGTTTATGATAACTAATTGTATAAGTAAAGAAAGAAAAAACCAATCATGGATTTAATGTGATAAAAAATATTAATTTATATCCAAGCCTAACTCCAAAGCATGATTTTTTGCCAAATAGGATTCCGAAGCATTAGAGTTTGTCACGTAGGTTCAACGCATTCTGAAATTATATATAGAGAGGATATCTAATATATATATATGTAAACATTATTATTCGATATTTCGTTCCAAGTTAGAAATTTGATGTGTTAGCTAATCCAAATTACCAAGTTAATGTTCTGTATATGTACTAATATAAAACACATAAATGTTTAATATATCTATAAATTTGTTTTAGGATATATCCGCGTGTATATAAATGTAGAATGTCTATTCCTACATATCGGCTTCTCATTCATTCTTCGTAACTAGTGCGTGGCCCGTACGATGTACGGAAAAATAATATTACGATTGTATTATAAATTAAATATATAAATAATATTAATCATGATTTATCCATTATTTTTAAATTAAACCAGGTTGGACACATGGACCGAGAATCGATTTATAACCAGTCTAGTTCTTGAACAAAATATTTGCTCTCGAATCGTTAACACCAATTGGTTGGACTGGTAGGATCGATATGATTTTCTAAATAAATTTTGTTATATTTAAAATTATTTTAAATAAAATTATATATTTAAATAAAATAGAGATTTATAAATTATTTATCAATTAGTTTAAATATTTGAATTTATAAATTGTTTAGATATATAAGTAACACATTTCATTTAAATTTATTATAAAAAGTGCTATATATATATATATATATATTAAAATATTTATAAATGAAAAGCTGAACAAACCCCAAATGATTTAATAAAATAGATTAATGGTTTCGATGATGGTCCAGTTCTGAAAACCTTATATCTATGGTACTTTAATAAATATTATAATGAAATATTATTTAATTCATATAAATATTAATAGAACGATATATAAATATTCATAAATCATTAAACATGTTGTCATAAAAGTATTGTTAATACGATTATTTGATGTTGGACTACATCACATTTACGAAATAAAATATTTTCAATATAAATTATATTTAGATTCAATAATCGATTTGGTGTGGTCGAACTGATACATAACTTAGTCACCTGAGACCAACCAAGTTGTGTCAAGTTTTTTTACTATTTTAAATATCACCTAAAAGTAATTCAATCAACCTGGGCCCAGTATCATAATTCAATCACCCGATTGATCCAAAATTTTCTTATTTTCTTTAAATATAATTAAATTTTATGAAATAAAAATATGTTATGATTCATATAATAAAGTCTACACCAAATGATAGTATATTAAGGTTATAAATTATATATCTAAAAATGAATTAATTATTTTTACTTTATGCATATTAATAAAAAATAAACATAGTAATTTTCAAAAAATTAAAATTAATTGATTGATTATGCATAAAGAATATTTTTAGCGTTCAAAATTTTTTAAAGGCACAAATATAAAGACCGAGATTCTAAAACTTTTGTTATATTTTGAGTTGAGATTTTATAAATATAGAGACCGAGATTTTAATATTGTTCGTTGTTTCTAAGAAAAAAATGAAAATAAAAACATACACATTAATAAATCTTAGCCCGAAATTTAAGCTAACATTTAATGCTGTATAATTTTTAAAGAACAAAATAAGAAAAATAATAAAACTTACAATTTATAGGTTGCATCAAATTCTACCTATTTTTTTGCTACTATTTTTGGTAAATGGTAATTTTTATTATATAGATATAGATTAACTTATGGTTATATTAATATAACAGTTTTGCTATAAAGCTATCGGATGACTCGACTTATAGAACCATCCACACTTATTCATCAATAGTGTATTGACACGTGTGTCCTACAACAAATACAATTTTTGGACATGTGTCAATACACTAAATGGTGGATGGCTCCATAAGAAAATCATCTGGCTCCATAAAATTTTTGGTTAATATAAATGCTAATCTACATACATGTTGTCTTATTTTTTCTTAATCCGTTGAGTTTTGTAACTATATGTAACAATTTCTGGTATTTCGTAGTAATTCATATAGTTTAAATGATGCATACCATAAGAACTTTTGAAATTATAAAACAATCGACTAACTTAAATTATAAATATATATAAAAGCTGTTAATTTTTGTATTTATTATAAACTTTTTATATATAATATAATTAATTAGTCATCTCTTGACGAGTTTCAATTTTATATTAAATCATCTTTAATACTAATCAATAATTAATAAAATTCTATTTCATTAAAAAAATAATCTATGAATTCATTACATATGAAAAAATTAATATAATACAAGACGGAAAAATCGTGCAAGTAAAAAGTCTTATT